GCCTTGAGTGTATATGCGATGGAAGTCAAACGTTGTAACTGTATGAAAACACAGGCTTTTTGCATGGATGATTAGAGTTATGCGTCAACTATTTTTAAGACTACGAGAGTTTCAGCTTTACTGCAACCTGCACTCCCCCACTCCCCCAGAGTAATGCTGTCTTTTAGTTTTCCCTCTATTTAGTGGCCCAAACATGAACTTATTCCTGCAAAAGTTTTCTTTTGCATACTTTCCTCATAAAAGGGAACCAGGACCCCCCTTCCCCAGTACCCCTTATGACTGATTTGCTGTTGATCCCGATTTTTTTCACCAGATCCTGATTTTTTTACTCTAAAATCCTGAATTTTAGATTTCATAGAGTGGCAGGTCTGTATAAGTGTTGGGATCAAATACTACTTTATTTTTCTTAAGTTCCAAAACTGATAGTTTTATTTTGCTTGTAGCCGGTTATGGGATGACAAATAATGTGCAGCACAATGCAGGTGGCTGGTTCTCTCCACTAAGCTGGTTCGTGCATGACGCTTCCACACACAGCAGTGACACGAGGCGTCGTGTAGTCGGTTAGGTGCAGCGGTGTGTTACTGTTCGCTGTCATAATAAGTATAGAACTACATGGACGATGGCAAGTTGTTAGTTATAGTATTTAAACTAAGACTGGTCGATTCATACATAAAATGCTTTAGAAGTTCAGTGCTTTGACTGACCCTTTGTCTGTAAATAAAATAATCCTTATAGTTGAGTGTGAGCCTGGTTACTGGGAGGTGTGGGTTCAAACTGTCACCTGTTGATTCATAACAGACACTTTAAAGTTAACATTCTAGCAGCTCTCTTGCCGAAAATTTACATTATGTGACTAGTGCTAGGAGAAGTTGTCGACCCGGTGTTTGAAGGCCAATACTGTGAACATATCTGCCGTCGTAAGGGAAAACGATGAATGGTTCTGCGCAGGTAGCGAGTCAAATTTTTCAGGAGAGGCAAAAACTGTTTTCACTTTATAACTCTTCCATTTTTCACTCTTTTAAGCTGTAATTCACCAGATATCTGATTGATGTGTTCATAAAGCAGTTTCTAAAGTTTGAAAAGTTTAGGTGAAAAAGTAGCAAAGTTATTCAACATTCGTCGTTCTCCCTTACACTGCGCTCCCACAGGTAAGCCTTGCGATGTAAGCGAAAACAACGAATGGTATGGTTCGTCGTTCTCCTTTACACTCGTGAACGTTTATGGGCGTAGGCGATGGTCAGTTGCAACGCATTATTGACCGTAATGACTATGTACTGGTTACTACAAAAGAAAATTAGACGTATATAAACTAGCTATTATACGTATAGTTAAGTGTTTGTTATATCCCAACTGTAACTCGGTAAACGTCCTTCGTTTCCCTTCCTCGCTTTGCTAAATACTACACAGTCAGTGTACAAATCAGATGGGCACCCATTTTCAACAGCTTCATTTAAAACTGTCTCATTCGGAGCCAAAGTTTGGTCTCCATAATATCTCTTTATTGTATTCTCTTCGAGAAGCGAGTTTTACTTTTAGTTTCGCTAATTGCAAAAATTTTCCCTGCACGACCAAAGGGATCAACAATGTTACAATGTCAATAATATGATCAGATCATTGCAAAGTCAAACTTTCACATAAGAAATGTAACAATCTAACAAGATTGTATCACAAACGCTTTCGGGAGAGGTAATGAGACGCTTTTTATTTAATAAAGGATTCAATTGATCTGATCGGAAAACATACCCCAAAGCAGAGATCGACAATGACAGTTTGAATCTGCAAGACATTATTATACTCGATCGTAATGTCCATCAAGTCGTAAAAAATCGTAAAGCAAGACTAAGTGTCACCACAATACGTCCACTTTTTAAGTTGGACAAAGAAATTTACTCTCATAACGCAGTGTCATTAATTGCTTGGTAATTCTATAAAATGATGTCGACCAGTGACACGTGCTAGACAAATTGCGGCACTATAACCATCATTGGGATTTGGGATGTCAAATGACTGGACAGCAAACTAACATGACGTTAGTCTGTGAACATCTGGCTGACACTAATATGCAGTGCTAATAAATTTCTCCCTAAATACTTTTTTGACCCTCCCATCCCCTCCCCTTTCCCCCTGTTCCCATCCGTTTTCCACTCTCTCCCGCCTACTCTTGTTAATTCACATCATCAGCTAAGGCCTAATACATGAAGACAGACAGAAAGACTCACTAAGTGACACATTCTTATAAACCTGGTCGACGGTACTCCGGGGGAGGGGGTGGTGGTGTATTTGTTTGCTAAAAAAGCCTAGTATGTTTGTACTTACGCCACAGTGACCAATTGTCATTTGTCGCCCATGCTGAATTTGCCCAACGGCAGAGACCAGGGGACAACGCCGAACGAGCAGTGATCCTTGACCTATCGACCATTTGTCATTCTCGCTTACACTGAGCTTAGGCTTAGAGCTCGCCACTGTATGGGAAAACGAGGAACTCTCAATTACGCAACAATGAATTAGGATATGACAAAAATTTTTACACCATCAGATGCAGAATTAAATACTCTATGAAATAGATCTATATAAAAATTTTTAAAAATAAAAAATGTAACCATTCGTCGTTTTCCCTTACGACGGCAGATATGGTTTAACAACCTTGTCAAAACTATTAGGTTATTTAAGGGGGAGGGGGGGTTTATCTGCCCGTGTGGAAATTTAGCTGTACTACGTGAAATATCCTAATGTGTCAGGCCATCAATTGTATGACTAGAATTGTTGATAACTAGATGACCTCTATGTGTTTACAAAAATATAAAACAAAACCCCTAACCAACCCAAATTAAGCTTTTTAAAAAGCCAGGACAAGACTTTTTTTCAGTATTTGTCTGAGAAACCTTCAGTTTTGTTTGATATTCTCCAAGGGCAGGGCCTTGGCGTAGCACACATTGATCTCGGGGTTCTAATCTGGATCAAGGGGTTATGGGTTTGATTCTCGCCTGAATTATGGTAAGATTTAAAATTTGGTCACTTTGCCTGTTATTGTTTGGGGCATGACTGAAAGAATAGAAAGCGGTATCGTTTGATTGCGCCTAGATGAGGTTCTTTTCTTCCAGTGCATTTAACTTTCATCATTTCTCACGCTTGAGTTCCTGTATAATAAATAATGAAACAGTAGAAATTACGCTATATACAGAGATGCCAACCAGT